CCAAATTCCAGCTTAGCTTCTGGGTCAAAAAGTTGGAAATGCCACAGCCCTGCATTATTTGCGGAAGCTGAGCAGAGTAGCCAAACGTATCAGGAAGCCAGAACTGTGGGACATTTAAAAAAATTCACATTAAATCAAATCAAAACAAAATCAAAAAGCCTCAAGAAATGTAGCTGATAAGCTGCCAGAAAGGTTAACTCTTATGAGTTCATACCTCTTTGCAATACCTCCCAAACTCTTTGTTAAAGAAACGCTGGCCCTCCAGGAACTGCCGGACCATGGACTCACCCGAAGGCAGATTTCCATCCTAACAGGCAAATATGTCAAATATATCAAGGCAGTTTACATGATATATAGTATTGCCTTTACTTTTAAGATGAAGTTTACCATTTCCACCCACGTGCCTCCAACTGGAATGAACTGTCCTTTCTTCACATAGTGTTGAATTGAGGAGAAAAGTCCAGGGTACCAGCTCTTTACCCACTGGAACTGCTGGGCCTGCACAAAAACAAAACAGTCAAAACTGGAGGGGACTGCTCAGATATTCAGAAGTGTTACGAGACATGTAAAGCTATGTTAGTGTGAAATTACCTGAGAGCAGGTAAAGACGAACTCTGGGTTCTTCTCCATTAAACGAATCACTGTCACCCAACTTCGGCCACATTTTCTAATGGTCTCCTCATAGGGCCACAGCCAGGCTATGGGTAAAGAATCATAATTATTGTTAGTATTTGAACTTAACTGACTATTAGATTTTCACATTTTGTATATTGAAAAATAATACAAAATCTATACTACCTATGGAAATCTATTTCTTACATTTTTTTTCATCCATTTCACAGTACTGTTACTGATGTTGCATAAATGCTTGTTATCCACCTGGATTATAATTTGTAAATGTGGTCTGACTGTGTATTCTCTGTCTCTACCCGAAGGTGGTGCTGTTCACCCTGTCTTTGTGAGTTTCCCCAGTGTGCTGAGTTTCAGAGGACAACTGATGACTGGCCAAAAAACTGATTACATAGATTTTTTCAGCTGTTTCCTTATTCACAAGCAGCCAGATCAGCAGATAAACAATACTTTCCTCCTCCATATTTACTTGCTCCTAACAAGACCGTGGCTTCAGTGGAAAAGTCAGTATTATGATTTCCATGTTAGAGTCTGTTTTTAAATGCAATGCTGCCTGAGAGCCTGAAGACCATCACATTCATTATTGTTTAATGACCTCATTATGACTTTTGGTCTTGTCCACAGATTTTGTCTGATGCTTTGAATCCTTTGACAATATTATGCGCCGTACATGACGAGATATTTAAGCTCTTTGCAATTTTACGCTGAGGAACATTATTCTGAAATCGTTCCACAAATTGTAGACGCAGATTTCTTGCAGATGGTTGAGCCTCCAAGATGCTCTGCTTATACTTAGTCGTGTTACTGACCTGTTGCCAATTTACCTAAATATTTCAAAATTGCTCTTCCAGCTGTTTCTTTTTAGTACCGCTTACTTTTCCAGCCTTTTCCTGGCCCCAATCCTAATTTATTCGAGACATGCTGCTACTATAAAGTTCATTAATAAAATACAGGTTTACAAGATTTGCGAACCATTGAATTCTGTTTTTATCTACATTTAAACAGTATTTTAACTGTTTTGGAAATAGAGTTGTAGTTTTATTACAGCAGATCCACATCAACACCGGCCATCACATTTTAAGCAGCATATTGTAAGTGGCATTGACATTTTCCATCCACGTTAAAGTATAGTGATTACTACTTAAGGTGAGGAGAGCAGTGCCGACTTGAGATCTGTCGTATATATTGAAAATATCTGCTGTGAATAGTCCTGGGCTCTATTCCAGGAAGGCAGTAGAATAAGCTCTGAGTTTAAGAATAAACTCTGAGTGGATGAACTCTTTCCAAGTCTTTAATAAATGTAAAGTTTTATCAGTAAAGGCAAACATGTTATAAGAAATGTCTCAGCTGTTATAGATATTAATTAGTTTTGTGAGGATGAGTTGTTTTAAATAAAAATCACAGATCATGTTGGGGAAAAATAAAGCCATAACATTTCCAGGCAGGACGAGCTGGGAAATGACCGGAGCCGAAGTGGATGTAGGCCTGATCCAGAGCCGTTACAGAGCCAATGATGCCTTCAGATGAATCCTGGGAATCATCTGAAGGCTTAAATTTCAGACACCATACTTTTCAAAATGTTAACACCATTTAATGTCTGAATCTCAATATGTGAGCAAATTTCAACATGAAATCCTCAGAGTGCGATCAAACTCTCTGCAGGCTGCATTGCTCATCTTCAATCAAATGTTCACATCATCTCTAAAATTCCAGCGGTCATACATATTTTCAGTAAGTGCAACTGATTACAAACACGACAAATGACTGAGTGAGTTGTGCCTCTAAAGCTTTATGCACATCATTGTTAAACTGCGACTGCTACAGTAACATACAGTAAATGTCTGCGGTACAAGGAGACTGACTATCTGACACCATTAATGTCCACAGAGTTAGACTCATAGACACACAGATTTTATTCTGAGCTGATTATAAATCTGTTACATAATTAGCTCTCCGACCTCATATACTGAAGACTGAATGACCTTAAAATCACTATGGTTAAGTATACGAAATAGCATTTAGGTGTTTGTAAAAATGTAAACTTCTGCAGTTTAATTCACTCCGCTACAGTTTGGCACCATGAATGACGAAATGAATCAGTGTCAGCCAGCTGGGTCAGCTGGTTCTGAGTCTGTTACCTTGGTAACTGACTCATTATTGAAATAACCTCTCTTTCTGGAAAAGAAAACCTGAGTTTCCCCTCATCTTACGTCGAGTTGTTAGTTAAACCTGCTTTGTGGAATAGAGCCCTAGTTTCTGAATCGCTGCAACCCCCCCTGAATTCTTTCTTCTCATAGTCTGGATTGTTTTGTTTGTTACTTTGGCAGAGCTCACCCTACAATTTTCATTGCATTTTGGACTGCAGTGGAACTGGTCATCTTTGGGAAAAGAGCGACACTTTGTCTGGCCAGGTGGACTCAACTAGGACTTAATCAAACCTAAAGTAAAAATATTACCCGAGTCTATGTGGCAGTGACCCATTGCATGGACAGTATGCTGGCTTTCTCCATTCCGCTGGTTGAAGAAGGTGCCTGCCAGACTATGTACTTTAGCAAAAGAACTGGGGTCAGAGGGGTCACAGAGGTTCACCATCTCATTGACGGTGAAGAGCGCCTGGTAGCCTCGCTGCTCTTCCTCTCCAAGCTCCTGTGAAGAAGAGTACAGAATGTCATGTTTGGCTTACAATGTTTTTTTAAGTAATGTATCATCATGCACTATTTTTGGTTGATAGTACCTTTACAATGTCAACAAGCATCTCAAAGTCTGTCAGCAGCTCTCTTACATCCCCGTTGAATACAACTAGCTCAGCTTTCTGTACAGAAAACTTCCGGTTTGGATCTGGAGGTGCAATCTGAGAGCCCTGACCAGCTCCAAAAAGCCCGTTGCAGGCCATTTCCACATACAGGGTGAGACTAAACAGAGACACAGATATGCGTAAATTTGGGGTTAAAGCTGTCTAAAAGGTGTGGTTGCTGCTGATTCAGCAAAAATAAGATCAGATCAACTCACCTGTGCGGCTCCTCATCCTGCAGACACTCAGAGAGGATGTAGCTCGTCTTTTCACCTTCTTTAGTCAGGCCCTACAAATACAAACAGCATGAATAAGGTGGAGGTTAAGCCGAATATTTCTGCACTTTTGCCTTTAAATAAATTTGCCGCTGCGTTACCTGAACTGGCTGCTCGTCTCTCCAAACCATTGCTTCTCCATCACTTTCCCACAGAAGATGAACCGCTTTTCCTCTCCAGGACTCTGGGATTTTCAGAGTGACTTTAAACCAGCAAGTCCACCACCTTCAACAATCATCATACTTGAATTAGTGGCAAGATCAGAGGGAATAATAAATCCCAGAGTGATAAAAATCTGTTAATCTTACTTACGTTGGTCCAAAGGTATCGCCAACTTTACATGGGTCAAAGATCTGTTTGGAAGCTTCTGCGAACGTGATCCGCTTAGGGGTGAGGAAACAGGCAAGTGATTCCAGGGGGCAAGAGTCTCCATAAAGCCTGGGAAGACCAAACCATTTAAAATTCATAGAAATCCATAATCATAAATCATAATCTCCATTTCCACGTTGAAGCTTTAAAATACCTTCATACTGAGACTCTAAAATCAGAAAGTCCTTTCATACTGGCTGTGTGACTGATGAAAATATCAGTTAAACTACAGCAGCCTTTTTTGTGGTAAAGTCACATTTTGAATTTTTATAATAAAGAAAAGTGGAAAAAAAGTGCATTTCACTTAAAGGAAGTTGTACTCTAATGCATCATAACTACTGGGACACTTAACGCAATGTTGCCTGCAATATGTATTGCATACATGCTTTCCACAGTTATTAAGAAAACAACTCTCTGTATAAATGCAATGGGCTAAATAAATTGCATTTTCCCCTCGCAGTATTTTGCAGTCACGGAGACTCACGCTGACGTATAAGGTAACAGAAAGCAACAACTTTATCTCTGCTGTACTACATCGTTAAATTCGGATTCTCCACGTCAGTGCAGCTGAATGAAAGAAACCTTACCGTCCTCTCAGATTGCAGTCAGTGAAGTAAATATCCGAGATGAATTTCTCTGCTCTCTCGAGGAGAGTGCGCCTGTTCTTCAGCACAGGCAGGTGATACATAACGACAAAAGCAACCAAACGCTCGCAGACTTGCAGCTGCAGCACCGAGAACAGCTAGACTTGAAGTGAAAAATTAGCTCAATTCTTCACACGAGACCCCGGAAGTAATAAGGTTTTATTATTGCACTTGAAGGAATTATCCGCTAGATGTCACTATTGTCCAAAAAGAAAAACCCCGACAGTAACGAACACGTTTTATTCTTTAAGAAATCACGAAAGGCAGATTGACTCAAAAATGTAAGACAGATTGTATTTGAACATTTTTAATGATGAGTTTTGTCTGCATTTGTTGTACACAAAAAACTGTATAGCTCACTATGACAAACATACCATTTGCCACATCTTGACACATGTAATGGTGCATTTATTTTTAAAATCCCAAACAAAACAAAACAGTATAACAAGAATAAAATTTGATGAGCAGACAAAATAAATAAACGAGTAACAATTACAAGAAAAAATATATTAATGTGTTAAAGACCTGGCACACGGAGGGAGCATTTTATTGTGACAAAACGAATCACCTCATGCTTATTTTGCTTTAAGATTGTACTTCTCATTTACACAGGCTTTTTAATCAGTCTAAACATTCTGATATAATTTCCAGTTCATCCATCACCTCCACACATTACAGCTTTCACCAGACAAACACGCTTTAACCAGGGATTAACAGCTCCACATGGTCATTACTACTGCAGGAAGATGGAACTGACTACGTCTGTAAAATACACAAAGCAATAACTCATCTCAAATTATACAAAAGAATGGCATAAAGAAAGGCTAAGGGAAACCTGATGAGGATAACATGTTAACTTTCCAGCAGTCCTGTGGTTAACTGTACAGCCTACAGGCCAACTAAGAAGCTATCAGGAGTGCTGGGGAGTTAGTCTTGTGATCCGACTACCGGACAGAGGGTTAGGGGTCAGCCCACGAGTGGCTGGAAACACAAAAGCCTTTTTTTCCTCAACATTTTTCACAATGAAGGAGCTGTGTTTGAATGAAGCTAAGCACCCTTTTATTATGAAATCCATAAAGCAACTGTAAGTACAGGGTTGTTGGAATTGTGGTATAGCCCATCCCTCTAGGGCCATCCTATCATCAGAGATGTCTGTCAAATCCTATCCCCCTATTGTTTGAACTGTGGTTGGGCTTTCCACCATGCCAGGACAGCCCTAGGGAATGGGTGCCATGATCTGACTTGACCTGAGATTTTCACCAGTTCAGCTCTTGGCTCTTGCCTGGTAGACTCTGTGTGAAGCTCTCCTTAGGAAACACACCACATCATGTCAGATAAATAAAGTGGAATTAAAGAGGACAGCTGTTCCTCTTGCATGCAGTTTAAAACATCCAGCATGAAGGCCTACCATCTTCTGCCTGCCACAACACAGCAAAAGGACTCCAGATTGTGGCTTGAGAGAAAAAAGTACTTCCCAAAACCCTAGAGCCACACGCAAACTTTATCATGTGATGTGATTAAACCTTGCATGCCTTTATAAATCTCCAAAGTGACCCATGGGGCAAAAAATAAATAAAGCGAGTGATGCAAAGGGACAAAAGTCTTAAGGATGTTGAAGTTTCTGAGCTCCTTTGAAGTGTGATTCAGAACAAGGAGTTATACTCTTGAGCCATACTCGTCCTTGTCTCCAGTATTGTATCCAACATGCATGCCTTTGTCTCGTCCAGCAGCAACTCTAAAAAAAAAAAAAACAACAGGTGATACTGTGCTTTAAAGAAACACAGTTATAGTTACCAGTGAGGTGTAAGAAATGATGGGGGGAGCATTTAGACAAAGATGTAACGTTAAACACCTTTCAATCCCTTCCAGGATGTAATTTGGAATGAGACTGTGACATAGCCTTTCATCTCCAAAAGTATGCATTTATGTGTTTTGGAAGGCATTGTCAGCACTGCTGAGCCTCACAACAATAAGGTCTTTGGTTTGAACATCCTGGATAGTTGCAGGCTGTGTGGCGTTTGCATGCTCTTCCTGTGTGTGGATAGATTTTCCCAAGATACTGCACCTTAGATTAATTGGTGATTTGAGGTACAGAAAGTGATTAAAAACACAAAGAATAAAGTGCTGTATGAACATATTTAAGTTTCACTTTAACTGCTTGAGTGGTCAGCAAGAAAAGTGCTGTAGATACGTCGGTCCATTTCTCCCCTCTGGTTAATACTAACCTATCCTTACATATTCAAACTAACATTGTTTTCCATATCTAAAAGTATGAATGCAGTAGTATACTCACATATCACTCCTCACCAGTGTGGAAGTTATCAGAATTTAAAAACAACTATAACATTACTTCCTCTAGACATAAAATTCTACATGCTTGTTTTTCTAGGTCAATTATTTTCATATATTTGTAACTATGTATCACAAGAATTACATAATAAGTTACAAAGTAACCCCATAAACATTGTCTAGTGTCCTACTAGTTGTTTATAGAAAACCATAACTGCACAAAAATGGGTTTATGATTCATGTGTTGTCACACTGCCAAGGAGTGACTAAGAGTGGCACAAGTGAATGCACACACGTTTCCCACCTATAAAATCCATTTAACGAGGGCACAACCACTATCAACTCCTGGACTTTTAAACTCTATATTTGATTGTCAGTTAAAGCAATCTGTCTCAATGTGTCAAATTTACATAGTCTTGTGTACTTTGTATTCCAGGCTCCATATCCAGTCATATAAAAAGCCAGTCAAATTCTTGTTGTACTTAGATATTTAGACTTCCTTAAAAAGTGTGGGGCAAACCAGGTTTGAGCGCCTTGACAACATTGTTCAAGGAATGGAAATAATCAAGCAGAGCAGATGTGGTTTAGTTAAAAAACAAAATGCATACAATAAGTTATTGTTCAGCAAGGGATGTTTTCTGTGATTTTGCCCTTTACCTACCTTTTTTGCCTTAATATGCAGCACATCAAGGTGACAATGAAAACAAGTCCCAGTGTACAGCTCACCAGTATGGGAACCAGTAAACCTGCAGAGCAGCATAAATATATATTTTGTCATAAGTGGCGATTATTGTTAAATAACAATTTCTAATGGGGTATGTTTATATTTCAGAGGCCTAAATATAAACTTGAATTTTCATGTGACATATCATAAATGAACAGAAATCAATACTTAGTAAGTCTTAATAATAAGGCTTTACTTTTAGACTTAGATGTGTTTAGTGATCTAAGAAATACTTAAATAATTAATAAATTATTATTATAAACCTTCATGTTATGTATTGTGGCTTAACATGATTATACATGTCTGTTTAAAAATAGTTTACTGAGCCTAAAGCAACGTACCAGTGTTTATCCAAGAGAGGTCGTCTGAGTAACAGAGAGAGAGAGAGAGAGAGAGAAATAGTGAAAATGCATTTTAACAGATTTTAACTCAGATAAGGAAAATAGTGAAAGGACGACCCATGACTGATAATAGAGGGAAAATAATTACATTTCAGTAATTTTCATAGGAGAAACAGACACTCATATGACACAAACATTGGAATTTTTGTTCCTCTCAAATTTCTCCCGCAGCCCATTGACCCATTTGAAAAAATGTATATAATGTATAAATGAATTATCTGTGAATGATGGTGAGACAGGTGTAATGGTGAAGATGCAAGGAATAGAGAAGGTGGATGAATATAAATACCTGTGGTCAGCCAGACAAAAAGCAATGGGTGATCTACAAAAGAGGTGGAGAACAGAGTGCAGGCAGCGTGGTGGAGTGGGTGGAGACAAGTGTCTGAGATGATTTGTGACACAAGGATGCAAGATTGAGAGGGAAGCTTTACAAAAATAGTATTGAGATCTGCCATGATGTATTGTATGGAAACAGTGGTATCCTTAAAAAGACAGAGGGCAGAGCTGGACGTGGCTGAGTTGAAGATGGTAAAATTCACTAGGAGTGACCAGGATGGGTAGGATTACAAATAATTCCATCAGAGGGACAGCTCAGGTTGAGTGGTTTGGAGACAAAGTCAGAGAGAGACAGCTGAGATGGCTTGGACATGTGTAGAGGAGGGATAGTGGATATATTTGACAATGGATGCTGAAGATGCCAGACAGGAGGAAAGGAGAACGACCATAGAGAATATTCATGGATGTGGTGGAGGAGGACATATAGAGGGTGTGTAGTGGTTCCCTTTTGGGACCAGATGAAGGAAAAAGAAGAAATCATCTGTGCTGTGACGTGGATCAAGTCAGAATTTTAAATACACAAGCGCAGTCTAAAACTTTATCTTAACTATAGTTAACCCTCAACATTTTTAATTTGACTACTTCTTTAATCCTCCTCTATATAGTTAAGGTGCAGAATCTACAAAGTACACACTTCTTTTTCGTGGCATGCAAAATAAACATAATGTAGTCTAATAACTTGCTGTCATTTCTCCTATTTAAGCATTAAATTCTGTTCATAGATGTGCAACTGAAAACCTTTAATGCTTTATTATTTTATATAAATATAGAAGCGAAATGTAAAAAGCTTCCGTTACCCTGCAAAGATCTAAAAATCATGTTAGCTCAAAATAAATTCTTTTGGTTTAGCCACATTTCTACATTGTGTATGACAATAATTACTAGCATGGCTCCAGAATTACCATACTATAGGACTGAGCTTGGCATCCAGTAAAACACTTTAAATGGTCCTTGGCATCTCCCACTCGTACAAGTTGACACGTAAAGATTTTCACACAGGAAACTTGTCATTTTTTATAGTTTATTGAAAAGCATTGCTTAGCCAGGCAAATGTGGGCAAAGATACCAAAAGTACTAACAAATTAAAAAAAAATTTTTCAGAGCAAAAATATACACACTGAGATAGTCCTATCATTATACTGAGGACAGTCACTGCTGGGCACTGGTTTTGCATCCGATTGATTTTGTGCAAAAAACAAACAAACAAAATCTGTGACAAAGAAAAACTGTTAACGTTTCTGAAAACTACAAATATGTGCACACACAGGAAAGTAAAATTGTAATATCACGTACATAAAGCATAAACTGGTTAAAAGAATGCAGGGCGTGGCTTGGAAATTTGGCTGTCAGTGTGGGACACACAACTGATGTCTGCTACAGAAAGTCACACTGAGTTTCAACAATGCCAGGCATCTCTCTAGTCTTCCCACTCCATAGGCAAAAGCCAAGGATGTGGATAACCCTGGCTTTGTGGTTTCCTGGAAACTGTAGCAGTGGAATGACCATTATATTGTGTCATTGGCACGTCTTTCTCCAATGCTGTGGAAGTCTTTCTTTGATTCATCATGGCTTTAGTCAGGGAATGATTTAACTCAGTAGCCTCGTCTGTTGGCCGTCCCTGGAGAATATACCTGATGGTAGGGAGAGCTAAGTCTGATCTGCACTCTAGGTAGCTTTTTAGGTTAAGCTCAGGGAAAACTGCATCTCTAAGAGCCTGAACCATCTGATTCTCAGCATGGGACTGTTTGAGCTGGTGGGAAACTCTCTGCTCCAGTGAGACGTAGCTCAGTGTGTTTTCTGCTAGCCTGAGTTTTCCCACATGGCGGTTGGCCTGGCTTTTCTTCTCAAGGGATGGATTCAGCGTTTGTTGTTTGGATTTGGCCAGTCTCTCATTCTGCTGGGTTTTGAGGTCTTTCTTCTTGCCAGCATGGTGTTTCTCTGAGCCACTTGGTAGGAGCTTGTACAGGTCTTCATCAGCCAGGTCTCCTAAGTCGCCAACCAGTAGCTGCTGTATGATTTGCTTTCTTGTTAACGGAGATGTAACTGTAAGAGTACCATGCAGTCTTCTGCCTGCATCAGACACAGAGCCAATGTTGTTAAACATCCCCGCAAGCTGGATGCTCATTTGGACGATGATGGATCTTCAAGCCCACCATGCAACAGCGCTGCTCATAGCGATACAGTAAAAGCTCAAGCTGCTGTCTGCTAGCTAGCGCTTCTGAGAAGCTCATAGCATGGGATTTCACACTGCCATGTCACAGCACGTCTCATTAGGAAAGCATAGCTCTGCGTGGAAAGCTTTGAGGAAACCATGCACATTCATACCACACAATATGGACCTAAATACCATACATTGCGGTACACCAGGCAACCACATAAAAGTCAGGCTTTAGGGACAAATTTAAGGGCTGCAGATGTTTTCAGCATGTCAGAGGAGTGGTTAAATCAACATGTCTTAAAAGATGGCGTACTTCCAGACAAGCTCATCAAGCTCAATCAAATTAAAAAATGATCAGCATCAAATCTAAGCCACAAGCAGGTTACACCATACAAGCCAAAGCCAGCATGACAGTTGTAATCTCTGCAGCAGAATAAAAGCCCTCAATTCATTCAAATGTGTCTTTCAGCCTTTTTTTAAAGCAGCACAGCAGCCATGTCGCTTATGTGACCTTTTCACCCATGCTCAGGTAATAAAGCAAGCCATGTTTGTAGACCATACTTACGTTCTTTGAAAGATGCCAAGACGAGCCGATTGTCAACAGGTTGCGTTTTCCTGTAGTTGTTACTCAGCGACATAGAGGCTGAGTCCTGGGCATTCGAGGAGTAGAGCGTTGCTGCTAGGGTCAGAAACTAAATAAAGCACAGCAAAACAAAAGCAAGTTTAGCACAAAGGCTTTTCCACACCAATAAAGTTTAAAAGACGCCACACTGACACATCTTAAAAAATTTTTTGCAACTGCTTTCTTATTCTAATATTAAACCTGGTTAAAAGTCACTTCAGCTGCTGAAGCACCTGTTGGCGAGAAACTGTTATAGGATTCCTGAACACCGTCCACAGGACACTCGGATAGCACGGAGGAGTCGTCAGTGAGCCGTCGTAGCGATAATACTCATCCAAACGCGTAGGCAGCAAAGCTCTGATGTTGAAAGCAGGCACCTTCACTTTCTGATCTGACAGTCGGAATGACAAAACAGAAATCAGCTGTTGGGTGACATTAATGTAAAATCCATGACTGTCATATGAATGATTCACACCTCAAACTTAGATAAAGAATCACAAACACAGCTTATGTTTTGCATAGGCTTATGTTTACTCCACATTAGTACTTAGAAAAAACTAGTACTCAGGTCTTACCTCTGTATATAATACGATTTATGAACTTCAGAATGTGGTCAAAAGCTGGATTGAACATCCCAACCTTTATAGAAACACAAATAATGAAATAGTTAGGTCTACTTTACAGAAGAAAACAAAATTACAGAACATTATCCACAAGGTCTCACCTCAACCAGCACACCCAGCACAGCCAGGCCATCAGATTTGTCCACGGCGGTGGAAATATTGGGATACTTATCTGAATTGTAATGCACTACATGCAACTGTGAACAAAAAGAACAATATGTCAAGATCCTGTGGAGAAAAACACAAAACAAGAAGGTATTTTATGTAAATCACTCTCATTTTTATAACTCACGCCATCTGTGACATAGTACTAATAGCAGCGATTTGGTGGGGTCATGGAAAAAGTGACACATACACTGCCAGATTGTTATGTACACCACTGCATCACTGCAACAGCCCTGTGATAAACCTTAAAGTACCTTAAGACTACTACCCTGTGTTCAGACTATTACTTAGTTTCGGGCGAGCATGGAGGTTGGTATATCATGTCATTATAACGTCTCTGCTCTCCATGTTATCTCCTTTTTATTTAAATGACAACTGTTATTAGTGTACACTTATAATAGCTGTTCAATGCAGAGAGTAGATGTTAGTTGGATTGAACATAAGTGGAGGTATTCAGAAAGCATTGAATGCAATCTTCTGTGGAAGAAAATACCAAAAGAAAATATTTTACACCAGCTTTCAGAACGTTATTCTATATTCTGTACAACCCAAAGGCTTCTTAGCCCTTCTGACCAAATAGTTTTATTTACAGACTTTGCTCTGTCTTGAGAATTAAGGAAGACCTTTTCACCATTTCAGGAAAATGTTCAATTTCCCATCATGCCATGCCTCCAAAACAACATGTCATCAAGGAACTGTGGTTCTGGAGTCTGGAGAGACTTGAAAAGACGCATGTTTTCGAGATGTCCACACAGAAACTCAGGTCAAACCACAGCACCTTAAATGTGGCTGCACAGCAGCTGGAGCGTGGTCACATAAAATGAACACAGGTTGCAGTCGTTTCAGTCTGCCCACTGTAATCCAAATAATTCCAAATTATATACAACAGTATCCCATTTTCACCTACTTTACTTTAAACTTGACTTTCAAATCGTCTTCTTTACCTGAAGTGCCAAAGTAAATAAATGAAACTATTGTGTGAAACCTGTTTACAGGGCTTCACACGTTAAATAGCACAGACAGCCGCTCATTTAGCGAAGTGGTTTAAAACCACAGTATA